ATCTATTATTAAGGATCAGAGATGACTGAGGGTCTCCTGAGGTGTATGGGTGACCTGAGAATATTTACACTGGACAGCCTTTACAAAGCCTGGATCAAGCCTTCTCTTCCTAGCTTTTCCCAGATTGTATACTTTAGTCCTCCTCAAACCCAGGAGACTATGTGTGATTAGGGCCAAATTACATACAGTTGGCTGAGAAGAGTGGTTGGATACTCCGGTGAGGGTCCAATGACCCTGCTTGGCCCTCCTTCAGTGAAAGAATATGAAAGTCAACAAACCCAACTAGTTTACACCTTAGCTGTTCCAACTGCACAGTGCCTTTACTCTTAGGCTGTTTTGTTGTTCTCCTGGAAAAGTCTTGGAGAACATATCTTGAGATAATAGGCTTGAGTTTGAAGTGGGAGGGCCAATCCCATCTCCAGAGTCAGCGTTTCAGTGAGCTCAAACAGCACGTGACAATTTACCAATATAATTAATACAAAAAGGCATTTGTTTTTCTTTAGCCTAAAAGTTTTAAAATTTTTTATCCATATATTATTTTTAAACTAAGGCAAGACTGTAACTCGCATGGTGAATTCCTTTGAAGAGGGCTGTCAGTCTGGATTGGAAAAAATGTAACTTGTGCTGGTAACAGCTTGTCTCCTGTGGGCTGCAGTAGCCACTGCTATGGCGTGCCCCTGGGTGGGGTGGGGGAGGCCATGACCAGCGCTGCGCATGCGAGCCCTCAGTGCTAGCCAGCCGCCATCCGGGTGCACGCGGCATGAAATCATGTCCCCCCAAGGGGAAGCCTGTGGGGGCATGGAGGACTACAGGAGAAAGCCCTCCACATGGGGTGGTCCTCTCTGACAAGCCCCTTACCCAAGAAAAAGTTTACAGAAAAAAATGGCTTTTAAAATCTTTTTTCCATTTGTCTATGGCGCAAGTGCCTTAAATTCTTTAAGTGCTCCTGGCTACCCTCTGCTTTAAATCCTTTGTTTTTGTTTATGTTATGGGGCACTTGGAGTGGAGTGCCTTTTTGTCCTGAGGCAAGTTAATTTAAATTCTCACCTAACTGGTTTAGCTTGCACTTGAGTGCCCTGGGGGCGAGATAAAACAGATTAAGGAAGTTTGTTATTTTAGAAGTTGAATTCAAAGCTTGTGTGAAAATCCCTGCATGATAGAACTTTGGGGATTCTTTGTTTTTAGGGTCATCGTTCAAGATAGAAGAGGAAAGGGGGTAAAACACTGATTCCTAGGGGAACATTCCTGGGACCTGAAGGCCTCAGGGAATTCCTCACCCGTCCACAGTGCAAGCCTCAAAGACTCACACCGAAAGTAAAAGGAGGAAAGAGGAGAGACTGCTGTTCCTCTCCGCAAATTTAAGAGATCCAGCGACCGGCTCTAAGAGCAATTAACTGGTCATTGTGTTACCGGGTTTTTGCATTAGAAAGATATATAGATAGGGGGGTCTTGTCTACACCTGTGCGGGTAGAGGGCTAAGAGCCTTTGGCTAACATCAGGGGGTAGCCCTGATCAGAAAGCCTCAATTTCTCCTTCATCTTTAACGGTCCCATGCGAAGACTCAGACCAAAAATAAAAAGGAAAAAGAGGAGAGACTGCTGATCCTCAAGGGTGGGATGGCTAAGGCAAAGCTGCCACTACCCTCTTGGAGAGAGGGGGGTACTCACAAACTCTGCATGTTCCAGGAGCCTCATGTTCGGGTGCCAGCTGTGGGGTCTCTCCCTCCCTTTGTGGGTCATTGGCCACCAGTCCACAAGGACAAAGGGAGCAGAAGCAACGAACGGGGTCAGGACAGCCAGTGAGCATGACGGAAGAAAGCCTTTCCAGGGAGGCAGATTCAGTGATACAGCTCCATTTATTCAGTGGAGGTTAGGGAAAATGTAGTGTGGAGGCAGCAGCCAAAGCTTCAGCTCATAATATGCTTTATTTACATGTGGTAGGGGGATCCTATCATCTGGCTATAGGGCAATGCCTAATTATCATATAGAAAAAACCTGGGGGTAGTTTTATTGCAGGTAAGTATGCCAAAGGTCATGTTCTGAATAAGGTCAGGCATCTGTGCTTGGAGGCACTTTCCAGGTAAGTCAGGCAGGAAGCCCCTGCTGAGAAAGGAGCCGACCTTAACAGCAGGGTTCCCCAACAACTGACTTATAAAAATTTTTATTATTTTTATTTTTATGTATATGAGTGAATTGCCTGGGTGTATGTAAGTGCCCATGGAGGTCAGAGAGGAGCATCAGATACCTAAAACTGGAGTTACAGGCTATTGTTTGTTGCCATGTGGATGCTGGGAATTGAATCTGAGTCCTCTGCAAGAGCAGCTGGAGCTCTTAACTGCTGAACCATCTCTCCAGCCTCTGAGTTTATGTTGTTCCAAATTATTTGAGTGGAAAAAAAAAAATCCTGTGAGACGTCAGTCTTTTAAAATTTTTTAATTTTATTTTATTGTTTTTTAATTATGTCTGTGTGTGTGTGCCTGTGTGTGGTATGTGCATATGAGTGCAGATGCTTGTGGACCCCCTAGAGCTGTAGTTACAGGCGTAGAGTGTTATGGGAACTCAATTTGGGACTTGGGACCTCTTAAGAGTAGTATGTGCTCTTGACAACTGAGACATTTCTCCAGCCCCTAAGTTGTGTGTGTGTGTGTGTGTGTGTGTGTGTGTGTGTGAGAGAGAGAGAGAAAGAGAGAGAGAGAGTTAGAGGACAACTTTATGGACTCAGTTCTCTCCTTCCATCTTTATGTGGGTTCTAGTCTCGCCAGGGTACTGTGGTACTTATGTGCGTACTTGGGTGACCAGGCTTGCACAGCAAACACCCACCGAACCATCTCACTAGCCTAAGAAGTCAATTTCCAGTTGATCATCAGGGTTAGAAACACTGTAATTTGCAGTGTTATTTGCAGATGATTTTTAAAAATAAGCATGGTCCTTATTTGCTGTTCAAGAAGATTTTTTATTTTAGAAAATACTTGAAAGTTTTGAATCATTCACTAGTCCACTATGAATGGTTCTTAATTATTTTCCCCATGAAATTGTAAGTTTTCCGCTTGTTTCCTGTGCCTGCTGGAAGATGTAGAGCTTAGCTTCTGCTGTTCCTCCCACAGCCACCTCTGCCTCCATGCCTCCCCTCCTAGACAGACTGTAATTCCCCTGGAACTTAAGCTCAAATAAAGCCTTCCTTTTATAAGTTGTTTTGGTCGGTGTTTCTAGCACAACAGCAGTGACTAATACAGCAATTGGTACCAGAGAGTGGGCTGTTGGCTGTGAAGAACCTGACCATGTGGGGTTTTGGAGGAATGTGGAAGACTTTGGAAGTTTGGGCTAGAAAAGCAGTTGATTGACGTAAGCAGAGTTTAACAGGCCGTTCTAGTAAGTGCCTGGAAAGAAGTAGTGCTGAGAACAATGTAGTTCCAGAGGGAAATAATGACTTAAGCAGCACTTGGGATATTTTGACAAAGAGTCTGGCTGGAGTCTGCCCTCTACCAAAAAGCTTATCTGAGGCTAAGTTGAAAAGCGATGAACTAGTTTCTCTGATGGAAGAAATTTCAAGACAGCCTAATGTAGAAATGGTGGTATGGCCATTAATGGTGATTATGTAGATCTACAGTGAAAAAGAGCAAATGGGGAAGAAGGAGATTAAAGTGATTAAGGAGGGGCCTAGAGATTCAAACTTAAACAATGGAGAGAGTGCCTCCAAGGCAAGACCACACCCAATTAAGCCTCCAACTTGTGAAAGGAAAATGCTGCAGGGGCCACTGAGGAGAAAAGCTTCTAAAATGGATAAAGCAGGCTGGAGTCCATCCCAAACTTACAGTCAAACTTGGCAGTGTCGTTCACCCAGTGCTGGCTTTAGAGGCATGAAAGATGGAAGAGTGAAGGGGTCATCAGTTCCCCTGCATAAAGAAAGCCCTGATAGGCCATTGTGTGAAGCTGTGAAGGTGAAGCCTGATTGGCAGTGGAGACCCCAAGAAGACATTCATGATGCCAGAGCTGTGAGGCATCTGCCAAGGCCTGCAAATAGTAGTACCAGCCCAAGAGAAAGATGTATGTTGCACGCAGCAAAGCTGGAGAGGCTGAGCCATCTAAGCCCTTTGGAAGTAAAGTCCCAGAAGTCAGACATGGAGCTACTGGATTTGGTGTTTGTCCTGCTGGTTTTTAGTCTTGTTTTGGTCTGGTATTTCCTTCCTATGCCTCCATTCCTCCCTTTTGGAATGGTAATGTGTATTCGGTTCCACTGTATGTTGGGAGTATGTAATTTTTCTTTTGATTTTACATGGGGCTTTCAGTTAAGATATTTCCCTGAGTCTCAGAAGAGACTTTGGACTGTGGACTTTTGAATAGTACTGAAACTGATAATGACTATGGGGACTTTTGAAGTGGGACTAAATGCACTTTGCATTTTATATGATCATGAGCCTATGGGGACCAGGGGGTGGAATGTAATGGTCTGAATGAAAATATCCCCCATAGGCTCCAAGTATTTAGACATTTTGTCCCCAGATGGTGACCCTGTTTTGGGAGGTTTTAGAAGGTGTGGGTGTCCTGGAGGAAGTATGTCACTGAGGGTGGGCTTAGAGAGTTCTTAAGCCTTGACAGATCTCCAATTGCTCTCTTGTTTCTTGTGCCTGCTGGAAGATGTGAGAGTTTAGCTTCTGCTCCTCCTCCTCCAGCCACCTCTGCCACCATGCTTCCCCACCAAGATGGATTGTAATTCCCCTGGAACCATAAGCTCACATAAACTCTTTCTTTTATTTAAAAAAAAGAATTGTAAGTTTTCCAAGTTAACAGTTAAAATTTATACTTAATTCTTTTTTCCTTCATAGAGAAATAATGGGTAGATGAATTTGTTCTAAAGATTTTATATTAAAATAATTACATTGAAGAAAATATTTGTCAATTATTCTCTAATCTATTTCATCAATTTTTATAGGTGCCGTATTATTGATTTTCACAAGTCAACTGGTCCTTCGGGTACACACCCTCGCTTATTTGAATGGATATTGAATTATTATTCTTCAGAGAGGGAGGGGAATTCGAAGGTTGTATCTACCTCGAAACCTCCTGTCTATCTCCAGCATCAGGGTTAGTGCAACACATATATATCAGGGTTATTTTCAAGGTAACAGATTAACTATTGTTACAGGATAATGAAGATTCTAGTAATAGAGTTGAGGGGGGGAGTATTGTGACTCTGATTTTTCAGGGCTGCTTTGTCATTAGACTATGTTCTTGAGTAACCGTGTCTTTGGGGCCTTCTGCCCTTTCTTTTTTCTTTGTCTCACTCATTACGCATCCCTTCCTTTCTTCAAGTCTTTACCCAGTTATCACTTAAGTAAAGCCTTTCCTAACCCCGCTTATTTAAAATGTATAAGCGCATGTATGTCTACAGAGAATAAGAATGTATATATAGCAATAACTGTGTATATGTATGTACCGCTGTAGTTAGATGTGACATTTATACCTATTATTTATACTTTGACAGGTCACAGTCGAACAATTGTTGGAATTGAAGAGAGAAAAAACAGAACATTATGTTTACTAATATTTGATCCTGGATGTCCTTCTCGAGAAATGCAGAAACTTTTAAAACAAGACATAGAAACTAGTAGTCTCAAACAACTCCGGAAGTCTGTGGGGAATTTAAAACATAAGCAGTACCAAATCGTGGCAGTAGAGGGAGCTCTTTCACCAGAGGAGAAAGTCGTAAGTATCTCAGTATTAGGAATAGTAGTTTAAAATTTTTAGTTAAAATCAGTGCTACCCCCGTTTTTAAATCTCCTAACACGTCCTTCTATTTCATAAAATTTACAGATCTATTTGTTTGTAATCACTGAATTTGTGGAATGGACATCTTTAAATTTAAATGGTACCTAAATGTCCTTCAGTTGCTTTACTTACCTTCTTAAAAAACTTATTTTTTTTTTTTGTTTTTTTTGCCTTTTTGAGACAGGGTCTTCCTATAGCCCCAGCTGGTCTGGAACTCACTATATAGACCAGGTTGCTCTTGAACTCACAGAGATCCCCCTGTCTCTGCCTCCCAAGGGCTGGGATTAAAGGTGTTGCCACCATGCCTGGCTTATTTTATAATTTTATATCAATTTTTAATGTCAGGCAAATGATAAAAATAACATGGTTATAAAGACACTATATTCAAAAGCCTAACTCATTTGGTCTTACTGTTTATCTTTTTATTTTATTATTTTTATTTTATGTGTATGAATGTTATGCCTGCATATAGTTAAGTGCACCCTTGTCGTGCAATGCCTGTGGAGAACAGAAGAGGCTGTTGGATCCCCTGGAACTGGAGTTACAGACAGTTGTTAGCTGCCATGTGGGTGCTGGGAATTGAACCTGGGTCTTCTGCAAGAACAGTGTTCTTAACCACTGAGCCATTGTATTGTTTATTAAAGTAGAATTCCTGAAGTTGGTTTTATGCATTGAGTTTATGAATAAACAGTTCTGGAATTTAACTCTCACCTCTATCCCTTACAGTTAAGTAACAAATGTCAAATTACTAAAAACTTTCTAGGAATTGGGAAACTTCCACTGAGGTTATGTATTAAAGCTACATAATATATCAGGTCTAGAAAATGCATCTTGAGATTTTATTGTTAATTGTGTGTCTCTGTGTGGGTTTGTGCATGTGAGTGCCATGCCCACAGAAGCCAAAAGAGGCATTAGATCCCCAGGAATTAGATTTATAGGCAGTTGTGAGCTGCCTGATGCTGGTGCTGGGAATCAAACTCAGATCCCCCACAAGAACAGTTCACTCTTAATCAGTGACTCCAAGACCCTGGAATCTTAAGATAAAAAGAAAAGGGCACATGTTTGAATACTTCATATTTGTTTTCCTCTAAAAACAAAAGAGGCAGAGTAGAAGAGCATGGGAAATAACAGGATCCAGGAGTAAAGAATAATGTTTGAAATGATAATTAATTTCAGTTTCATAACGTGAAGTATAAAGGCAAGGATTGTGTGGTGGGTTATTCAATTTAATATGATGCTTTAAAAGATTTCTTTGCAATAACTTGAATCCCCAAATTGTTATTATCTTTTAATTCAATCTCTAGTTTGGCCAGATAGTTAGGGTTCATTTTAATTATTCTTAAGTATCAAGATGCTTGCTCACCAATGCTTCCTTCCTTTTTTTCTTCCTTTCTTTCTCCCACCTTTTGTTTTGTTTTGTTTTTGTTTTTGTTTTGACAGAGTCTCCCTGTAGCTCCAGCTAGCCTGAAACTCAGTATGTAGACCAGGATGGCCTTGATCTCATAAAGATCTGCCTCCCTCTGCCTCCCAAATGCTGGAATTAAACATCTGTGCCACCATGCCTGACTTGATCTTTTTTCTTTTTTGAGACAGGTTCTCCCCGTAGCCCTGGCTTACATTGACCTTAATATGTAGACCAGGCTTTCCTTGAACTCACAAGAGATCTGCCTGCCTCTACCTCCCAAGGATTGGAATTAAAGACATGTCCTGGCTTCTTTAAATTTATTATTTATTTATTTATATTTATTTAGTGTATATTTGTGGGCACACATGCATGTGTGTGGAGGTCAGAGGGCAACTTTCAGGAGTTGGTTCTGTCCTTCCACCATATGGGTTCCAGGGATTAAATCTAGGTCATCTGGCTTGGCTGGAAGTGCTTTTACTCACTGAGCCATCTTACCAATCCCTTAGTTCTGGTATTTTAGTGATCATGTAATTATTAATTCAAAAAGAGTGGTTGGTATTCAAAACTTTTTTTTATTCTTTAAACTATCTTATGATTACTATCAGACATTCTTGCCATGAATATATTTTGAGTAACTGTTTAGTCCAGATCCTGTTCTAAATGTTTAAGCACTTGCTTAAGGAATAAGCATTTCCTAATGCAAGTCAGTTAAATAACTACAAATTTAGATAATAGCCATTTTTCATTTTCTTCAATTAGAAAAAAAAGGTTTTATTTTTGAGTGTGTGTGTGTGTGTGTGTGTGTGTGTGTGTGTGTGTGTGAGATGTGTATGCAGGTGCCAACGCCCCAAGAAGGCATTAGATTCCCTGGACCTGGAGTTAAAGGCTGCTGTGCGCTTCCTGACAGGGATGCTGGGAACTGAACTCACATCCTCTGCAAGAGCAGCAAGCATTCTTACCTGCCAAGCCATCTCCCAGCCGCCTATTGTTGACTTGAAAAAAAAAAGGTTTCAGAAACTTTTGAGACGGGGTCTCATGTGGCCCAGGCTGGACTCGTTCTCACTATGTAACTAGGTTAGCCTTGGACTCCCTTTTCTACTGCTCCACCTCCTGAGTGCTGGATTACAGGCATTTACCACTGGGTCTAGCTCTTTTTTACATCTTGATAATTAATGATTGCTAACTTTCCACACTACATTCTTGGTTTTTAATTGTGTTATCTCTGTACTCTGAATTTGGTTTAAACTAGTTTGTTTCATTTAGTTCAATTTAATATGCTTTACTTTGTAAGTCAAATTGTGAAAATAGTACAAACAATAAAGTTTTTTCTTTTAGTATTTATAATTCTTGGAGATGCGCAAGCATGCATACAGTGTACTTTGATCAGCTGTACCCCTCATGCTTCCCCTAACTCCTCCCAGGTCCACTTCCCAACCCTCCCAACTTCCTGTCCTCTTTTTAAAAAAATTTTTTAATAATCCAGTCCAGTTTGTGGACCATGGTCTACCTACCAGGGGCCACAAAAAACTGATTTTTAAAAAAATACCTTATTATTTTTATTTTATGTGTATGAGTGTCTTGCCTGCATGTATGTAAGTGCACCTGTGTTGTACAGTATCTGCAGAGGTCAGAACAGGATGTCAGTCCTCTGGAACTGGAGTTATGGACAGGTATTTGCTGTCATGTGGGTTCTGGGAATTGAACCTGGGTCCGCTGCAAGAGCAGCCAATGGTCTTAACTTCAGTGCCATCTCTCCAACCCTAAGAAAACTGATTCTTATTCCTCAGAAGCCATCAACTGTCAATGGCTGCTTGGCTAGGAGTGGAGGCTCAGGAGCCCCTTCCTCCTTCACACTGAAGTGTGTTCACTGGCAATAAAAAGGTTGTTTGTTTGTTTTTTAAAATCTTTTTGAGAAAGGGTCTCCCAGTAGCTCCAGCTGGCTTGGAACTCACTGTGTGGACCAGGCTGGCCTTGAACTCAGAGATCTGCCTGCTGGGATTAAAGGCGTGTATCACCGAACCCAGCTAATAAAAAGTTTTTTAAGAGACATGTTTAAGGCTATAGTGGGGAAAAATGATTTCTTTGAATGGTTCTTCACTCATAGCACTGTCTTTTTCTTTTACCCTCTTTGGTCCCTGGTATGCACCCCTCTTCATTTTTGTCTGTCTCCATGAACAGCATTTTTATGTATTATGCATTCTATGAAAATGTAACATTTTATTTCATTCTGTTTTGTCTTTATCTAGAATTTTCTTTATGACTTGCCTTTAAACATTTATATTACTGGGCCAGGCGTGGTGGCCCATGCCTTTAATCCTAGCACTTGGGAGGCAGAGGCAGAGGCAGGCGAATCTCTGAGTTCAAGGCCAGCCTGGTCTCTACATAGCAAGTTCTAGGCCAGCTGGGGCTACAGGGAGACCCTGCCTTAAAAAGGCCAAAAGAAAAAAAAATTATTCCTAATTTTGTAAGTTTTAGGTCATAACATTGCTTTAGGGATTTTCATTGTTATCTTGCAAAACATCCAGATTTTATTTTCCATATTAAAATGGTAACATATAGGGCCAGCAGAATGGCTCAGAAGTCAAAGATGCTTGTTGCCAAGCCTGACAACCTGAGTTTAAGCCCTAGGAAACACATGGTGGGAAGAGAGAACTGACTCTAGCAAGTTGTCTGCTGATTTCCACATATGTACCATGACACATGTGCCCACACACATATACATACCCCCACACAAAAAAGGTACTGTAAAAATATTAAAAAGTGATAAACGTATATAGTATAATTAATATGTAGCTTACAACTAATAGCTTTTTTTTTCTTCCATTCCTTTTCAAGGCCAGGAAACAAGCTTCTCAAGTGTTTACAGCAGAGAAGATTCCTTGAAGAATCAAATATTTCAATGATTTTGGAACTATTCTTTGTTTTCCAAATTCAGATACTGAACTCCTTAATGTATTTAAAGAAGCTGATTTCACTTTAAGTTCTCAGTATATTATTTAATTTTTAAAATGCGTGTTATACATTTTTAGCATTTCATCATTTGGTAATTAGTTTAATAAAATACCCTGTTTGCGTTGTTGCTTTTAGTTTCCTGTTCTTGTCCATGTTTCAGACACTCATTTTATAGTTTTAAGCTAATGTGTGTTAGCCATTTCGTGCGTTAGATACTCTTAGTACTTAGCATCTATTAATGAGTTTAATTTTGGACACAGTTGTTTGTGGCAACTGCTTTTAAGCCCAGAAGGAAGCTGAAGCTCTGAAAGTTAGTGATTTGCCCAGGAATATAATTGTGATGAAGATGGAACCCACAGCTGCCTCACTATATTTTTGGCTGTTGTGTTAGTCAGATTTTTATTACTGTGAAAAATGCATGAGGGAGCCGATTCAAAGGAAGATTTATTTTGGCTCATGGTTTCAGTCCTTGGTAGGCTTGCTGTATTGTTTATGGGCCTGTGATGAGACAACATCGTGGCAGTAGGGCCACCATGGTAGAGCACAGCTGCTTACCTCCTGGTGGCCAGAAAGCAAGGTGTACCTTCTGGAGGACACCCCATGACTTTCCTCCAGCTTTTCCCCATCTCCCAGGAATGCCATCAAATTATGAATCTATTAAATGATTAATCCATCGACTAGACTAGAAGACTCCCAATGCAGTCACGTCTAAATGATTGAATCCACCGGCTGGAGACCAAACTTTGAGCATTTGAGCCTTTTGGAAGCACTTCTATTGCCATATTGAGATTGTTTCCTTACTGCTTAGTGATGACCTTAATATGTAACAAGTTCTAAAAACAAAGATCCTCTTTTGTTAAATGTTTACACCATGGCGGTGCAAGCCTTTAATCCTGGCACTCTGGAGGCAGAGGCAAGCGGATCCTCTGTGAGTTCGAGACCAGCCTGGTCTACACAGGCGAGTTCCAGGCAGCTGGAGCTACAGAGAGACCCTGTCTCAAAAAGACCAAAAAATTTTATTTATTATTTTTTAATTTTATGTGTATGAGTGTTATGCCTGCATGTAGGTAAATGCACCCATGTCATGCACATTGTAGGAAACAAGTGTTCAGATTCTGGTCACATATCCCTTGTATGGTTGTAAGAATTTTACAGAAGGAAATTACTGAAAGATTCTCAAAAGCTCACAGAATCTGTGGGTAACTTAGAAAAATGAGCTAGAACTTAGTCAACTAGGGGATAGAATTTGGTGTCAGTTATTGTAGCAGGAACAATCTGGCTAGGAGTTCTGGTAGAATGCTCAAAATTCAGATTCACAAAGAACACATCTGACTGGCATGGGACAGAGATCCTCAGAAGAAATGAGATGGCTATTAATCAATAAAAGGATGTCTATTACACAAAACGAGTATACCTGCTTGAAGATCCGTGAATTTTGATCCTCCAGCAAAAACTGAATTTGTGCTCCAAGAATGAAAGAGTCTTAGCAGTTGGAGGATCCTTTCTGATGTTCTGTCCTTCAGGCTGGTGACCACTTTTCTTCTTCACATCTCAACACAGTTATTTTCATGTCACCATTTACTGAGATAATCTGATAACCTTACAAGTCTCTTTATCATAAGACTTAATTCTCTATCAAACTTGTCCTTAACACTGAAGCCCAAATACTCTAACCTCTGCGTGTGTTTGTGTGACCTAATTTAATCTTTCTTCCTTTCACTGGAAGCTGCAGTTAGTATAAAGTTCCTTGAAAAATGCAGCATGTGCTGCTTAGAGCCCTTCCCCCCATAGCATCCACCAGGTGGCTCTTAAGTACCTTCCAAACACTTGACATCAGTGCTGCTCTGAAAGTGTAGATCAGTGATCTGCAAGCTTCCAGCCTATGACAAGATAAGTTGAGAAACTGAATTGCTGTAATCTAAAAATAATAGATTTGGATTGGAATTATTTTTTAAGTGATCCTTCAGTACAGACTTTGAGAAGCGCTGACTTTTGGGACCCTATTAATACCTGTGCCATTACTTGCTAAATCGTGGTCTCTCCTATTTACCGTTTTGTAGCCTCCCTTAAATGAAAGCAGTGAATTCAGGACAGTGCCTAGTTTTCACTCATAATTTCAGGGTGTTAATATATTTGGGCTTTAAAATGCCTTTTTAGCAGTAGTGATAAAGTAGATCTAAAGTATCGATATCCCAACTTCCCATCTCTGTAAATAATGTCCCAACAACCACTGAAAATCTGTTTCTATAAGATGAATAAGAAGCTTGATCGAGGAAGCTGAAAAAATAATTGCTCTAAAAGTTTGAATGTCCCAAGGACTTTCATTTAGGTCATGGAATTATGAAACCCACCTCAGGAAGAGATAAATACACATTATTTGCACACAATACCATAGGCCCCAGCATAAGCAATACAGAGACTTGAGATACAGGCCCTAGTTCGCTTCTTACAGAGGCTAAAAATGCATGCTTTGGGTTAATGGTTATTGATGTTTTTGATCTCCATACCCCTTGTGACACATAAAGTAGAAGTTTCCACAAAGCTTTGTGAATTATAACTTTTAATGTTTGCTATCTTAGAAATTAAGTTTGAAATCTTTTGAAAGCAGGAATACACAAGTACTAATTCCATTATAAGAATCATGTGATCACATGTCATTGATCCTCTGGAAAATCCATTAGGCATCTTTATAAATACATATGTATAGCTTGACATATGATGTGTCCAATTTGATACATTTTTAAAAGATTTAAATTTTACCTGTATGTAAATGTGTGTGAGCCCAAGTATGTGCATGCACCATATGCATGCAGGTTCCTGTGGAGGCCAAAAGATCGCACTGGATCCCCTGAAGCCTGAGTTATGAGCAGTTGTAGGCTGCCTGATGTGGGTGCTGGGAACCAACCTCTGGTTCTCTGTAAGAACAGAACATACTCTTAACTGCTGAGCCATCTCACCAGCCCCCACTCCCAATTTGCTATTTTTGAATTACTGCGTACGTTTTTCACGGTAATTTCCAACACACACACACACACACACACACACACACACACCAGACACCCATAAACACTTTGTGTCAGTGCCACACAAGAAAACAAGATGCCAACTTTGTGTTAGTCATCATCATCTTCATCTTCTGTTTCTTCATTCTCAGCTGCAAGTACAACAGACTCTTGGGCAGCCCTGAAAGCCTGCTCCTCTTCCACATTAGGGTCATCCATTTCTGTAATTTCTGGTCCACTGGGATATTCTTGGTAAACTGGTGGTGGGATTGGGGGTGTGTAATTCTCCACACTATACTTATGGCCCCAGCCTACGTAGAAATTTTCAAACTTCCTGTAAGTTAAAAAAAGTCATATTCAGTAATAGAAGTTGACCATTACGTAGTAACGATCCAAGCTTATCCTGGTTAAGAGAACGATAGGGCCAGACCCTGTCAAAAATGTACCCTACATGTAAACCTCAAGAAAATGCCTCAGATTATTCAATTATTTAGTCATTTACAAAGAGTTATTGATTTCTACGATATTGAAAAGTTGCTAACCTTTGCTTGGGTGAAGAATAAGACATGTGGCTTCCATAAAACGGTCTGAGCCTTTTGTTAGGAAAGATCAATGAGATGACCTCGTGACACCCACATCTGTGACCCCCCCCCCCCCATTGCTACAGATCCATCTCCAAAGGTGGCCATTCCTTAGAAGCAAATGGTTCAGGGAGAAATCAAAGTTTTCTCCTGGTCATGCTATCGCAGTCAAGGAAGACTTGGCTCTGGCTTTTGTCTTACTGCTCTTTAATGGCAGTTCAGCTTTCTCCTGCTCTGTTGAGCTTCTGGTACTGATTAGGAAAGAAACAAACAGAAGACAAATGGAACTCTGTTCTTTCTAACTGAGGAATAAAAGGCATTTTACTATTCTCTTGATCCTAATTCCCTTGAAAGTAATAGCATAAGTAAAGCCGATTTTAAATAATTTTTATCAAGATGCTCAGAAAAAAAGATATCTGACAGGGAAGCTGTGCCTATGAAATCTCAGTAATATGGTTACCTGAACAAGACCTGAATGATAACAGCACCAGTTGACGTGCCAGTATGGTTGGGGGAAATTTCACAAGGCCCTACCTCTAGATGAAGAGCTAAGGGCAATCAGTGGATGCTGGGGGCGATTTTATATATAGATTACATATATATAATATAAAATAAAGGTCATGAGATTGAGAGTGTGGGAGGATGTGGGAAGAGTTGGAGGGGAAGAGGAGGGGTGGAAATTATGTAAATACAATACTCATTTAGGAGATTCCTCAAAATATTAAAAAAACTAAAAACGTTAATTCAAATACGTAAATTTTTTTTCCATTAGTCTGATAAACTAAGGAGTAAGTCAATTAGCTAAATAACCAAAGGCGTAAAACTTATCTCCAATTTAGTTAATGGGATAATTTAAGACGGAAAGCAAAATTGTGTTGCTCTAGTTCTGAATTTGATGTTTTTTTGTATTTCAGACATTATTTTAATAAATCTTATGCTGCACACCTAATATCCTAAGGATAAATTAAGACAATAATAGCTTAACATCCCCGGGAGAATATAATATCCAGAGCTTAAATATTCACAATAATTGTTAGCCACTAAGCAAGGCAAGAGCCATTAGGGGTGAACTCCTGTATTGCTGCACCTTCAAGGTGTTCTTTATTTTAACCTGAAAATTTATGTTGCAAGATGAGCATGCCCAGAGACATTCCTATCTACAATTTAAACTTTTTAAACTTGTGATTTAAGATCTGCAACTAAATATATCTAAAATGTGTCTGTTATATTTCCTTCTTAACCTGAAACTGAACATGCTCAGGAATATACTTCTTAGAACTCTACACATGCTAAGTCTTCTTAAAACTCTGTACACTTTTAAGTCCTGTGCTACTGGAGGAAACATACACTTGATACTGCAAATATGGGCAAGAACCCATGTTTGGGGGTGCTCACAAGCCCAGGAGTGAACTTACTATTATTCTGCTAAATGGACATACTATCAAACTGTCCTCTAAATTTAGTCTCTGTACTTGTTGACCAGTGCAGCCCTCAGACTTCATTAAAGAGTTTCTTTGTACAGTGAATGGTGGTTAATTCAGAAACTCACAATTGGCCATAGTGTGGAGAGTAACTGGAGTGCTCAGTCACAAGTGGGATAGCTATGTCACCCTGCCCCCACCCAAAGTTCAGGAATCATCTGTGGAAGAGGGACAGAAAGATTGGATGAGCCAGAGGTCGGGGAGGACCAGACTGAAACAGTATTTTCTGGACATGACAGGACCACCTCACTCATGGCCTCACAGCATCTGTGGTTGCCTGCACAAGATCCGTCAACATTCTAGCACGGAGGGGGGAGGGGATCATGAGTCCACCCCTAACAGAGAAGCTACAGACAGTTGACACCTTTTGGAGGAGGGAGAGTCAGTTTTCTTTAAGGATGTGGCTTCTGGTAGGGGACCATACATGGCTGGATGACCCCACACCCAGAAGTATATGGACAGTACAAACTTAGGTCAATGAGTTATTAAATTTTAAAAAAGGATACAAAGTTGGGGGGAGGGGTTGGGGGTGAACACGACAAAATAAATTGAATTAAATTCTCATTTTTTTTTTTTTAAAGCTCTCGGTACACTCAGTAAAGTTGCCTGCTCCAGGTAAACGTATGGGCTCCCTGAACGAAATCAGCATTATTTCCATTGCTTTGACATTAATACTAGTGTTCTCCTCACCTGCTGTGGGCAATAAATCTTTCTTTATTTTTTTTCTCTCTTTTGAGAGAGGGTCTCCCTGTAACCCCAGCTGGCCTGAAACTTGCTCTGCAGGCCAGCCTGGCCTTGATCTCACAGAGATCCACTTGCCTCTGCCTTTGGAATGCTGGGATTAAAAGGCGTGCAGCATGATGCCGAGCGAGCTCTTTCTCTTTTCTTTTATGTCTTGGTAGAGCTTGATTTGACTTTGCCCTCATCAAAATGCAAATCCCATTGAGTGTGGATACATAAAGGCTTTGTATGTGGCCAGATACTTACTTGCCATTGGAAAAGGCATATGCTCCAGGCCAAAGATTGGATCGAAGGACTGCGATAGCATATTGTGGAATCAGATTTGAGGACAGACGTGTTGTCCAAGAGGGTATATTCTGAACCTCTGGAACCCAATGAGAAATTAAAAAGTTTAACACTTAAATAGTTAGAATCTATGGCTCAACTGAAGTTATTTTTATAAATCTGAAACACAGTCATCTGCACATTTGCTAAAAAAAGAAGTTAAAACAACAGCTTAACAAAATTAGGAGAGTATTTTACACATGTTTTAGAACAGTAAGACAACAACTATATACATATGCACAGTTTTTGCTACAGAGACTTTACAAAAGAAGAGGATTCATGAGGCTGGAGAGATGGCTCAGTGGTTAAGAACACTGACTGCTCTTGCAGAGGACCCAGATTTGTTTCTCAGTACCGACATGGCAGATAACTACCATCTGTAACTCCAGTACCAGGGGATCTGACACCCTCTTCTGACCTCTGCGGGCACTGCACAGCACAGATAATACACATATGCAGGCAATATTCTCATACATATATAATAAAAATAATAAAATATTTTTTAAAAGAAGAGGATTTGTGTGGTGGGGGATTAGTATGGTGGCCAAATGGAAGGTCAAATTTTTACCATGGAAGAGACTTAAGATTTTCAAGCAAAGTAGACTAGGAAGAAACAGGGATGAGTAGATTACAAACCAAAGCTAGCACCACATGTGGCATCTTACTATAGCTTAGCCATGTGTTTAGGGTGTACAGAATGCAAGACAAAAATGATGGTAACCTTTCCCTTTAGAGCTCCACCCACTCCTGTGTCCTCCTTGTGTCGTTTCTTCAGCCTCTGCCAGCTTGGTGATATGGCCAGAAACATTCTTTCCTCCCACCCTTCCAGAGCCCAGGAAGGGGAGAAGGGATGAGACTAGCTTCCTGTCCACTTTTCAGAGGTTTCTGGTGATTGAATATTTACCCTGTGATGTATATAATGTAGTTTATGAGACTGTTGAGTAAAATTACCTAAATCTTCAGAGAGTGGTGTCAAAAGAGGAGGCCCCACTTCCTGTTCTATGTAGTCAGGTTCTTCTCCTTTTTCTTCATCCTCTTCCTCTTCCTCTTCCTCATTTTTTTGTATAGGATTGTACCAATTACAGCGACCCTGGGGATGAATGATGCAAGGTTTAATGTTTTAGTAACAAACTAATAAAACAAAACAAACTCAGAATATCCATTTTGATTGCTCAAGATGAAGCTTCATTATGTGGGAAACTGGCCATTCATTCATTTATTGTCATTAATTTGCTATTTTGATACTCACCGTGTAGCTCAGGTTGATCTGAAACTTGTGATCCTTGTGCCTCTGCCTCATGAGGGATGGACTGCTGGCATGTGCCAGCATATCCAGCTCATTCACTCTTTCTATATGTTTAGAATATACTCTTTCTCTCTGGTTACTTCAAGAAAAATAAATAAACTATAAATAAATGAATAAATAAAATAAAAAAAGCTGAGTATGGTGGCACATGCCTTTAATCTCAACACTCAAGAGGCAGAGACAGGTGAATCTCTGAGTTTGAGTTAGCCATGGCTACAGAGTGAGACCCTGTCTCAAAAAAACCTCCCCCAAACAAGCTACACAAAATAAAAACAAAACAAAAAAACACCTCTGTACTCATTATTTTAATAATTTGCCACTTTTTACATTTTTTTTATTATGTATATATGTATGTCCATGTATGGGTATGTGCAGATGAATGCAGGTGCCTGAGGAGGCCAGAGGCATTGGATCTCCTGTTACTAGAGTTACTGGCAGTTGTCAGCTGCCAAATATAGGTACTTGGAACTAAACTTCAGTCCTCTTCAAGGGTAGTTGCAGTCTTAACTACTGAGCCATTTCTCCGGCCCCTCAAATATTAGCTCTTATCTAGTGATATTAAGAGCATCTCTTATCTAGATCAAGGTATAAGGAAGATTTTCTGCCTGCAGATGGGGCAGTATAGCAGAGTGGGAAAGGGGAAGGGCTTTGGTCCACTCTTCACAGCCTCACATTTAACAATATTACTTATTAGCTGTAGCTGCTTTGCCATGCTTCCTAACCTGTCTGCTTATTCTTCATCTGTAAAATAAAGATAGCAATAAAATAAAACTGCAACTTTCATAGGGCTGTTGTGAGGATTAAATCATATATAATTAGACATGACTATGCAATTTAATACATAAAGTGTTAGTAACAGCATCTAGCACTGTAGGTTCTCTATAACTTCTGTACAAAACTGTCTTTTGTTTCTGTTATAATCCTTTTGTGCTCTTGATATAAAACTTGCATGTTGTGGTGGTTTGAATGAAAATCCCCTGCCCCCCCGCCCCCCATAGGCTCCAAGTATTTGGATGTTTTGTCCCCGGTTGATGGTGCTGTTTTGGGAGGCTTTTGGAGGTGTGGCCATGCTGGAGGAAGCACACCACGGAGGGTGGATTTGAGAGTTCTTATTAAGCCTTGCCAGATTTCCAGTATCTCTCTACTTCCTGTGCCTGCTTGAAGACGTGATTGTACTTAGCTTTCTGCTCCTACTCTGGCCACTTCACCATGCCGCCCCACCATGGAGGTCTCTAATCCCTCTGGAACCTGGAACTGTAAGCTCAAATAAAGTCTTCTTCCTATAACTTCCCTTGGTCATGGTGTTTTATCAGAGCAACAGAAAAGTAACTAAGACACATGTATTATAGAAATAGAATGAAAGACATATCAATATTTAAATTAAAACAAATAGAATGACTGCAGACCACACAAAATATAAATCTGTAAATTTCTAAAATGCACTCCTACCTGAGGTAGAATATGTTGTACATGATGAACCCAGTTGGATAGAGATTCCACTAGGTCAGTCACTTGGATGCCTTCAAAATCAGGGTTTTCCTCATAGGTATCTCGACCACCTTCTATCTCTTCCTCCTCCTCTCCTTCCTCTTCACCAAACTGATAGAATCCTAGGGGGCTGACATGGGTTCCTGCTGAAATTCGGGCAATTTGTGCTCGTAAGTAATTGCTCTCATTTCCTGGGAAAGGTGGATAGCTTATGATGGCAGCGTCTAGTCGCCCAGTGAAAAATTTCTTGATTTTTCTTGCAGTAACAATTTGTGCAGGTGTAACTGGTGGTAGCTTCACCCATGGTCGTCCTGGCTCATTGCAAACAAAATAGACGTACTTGTTGGCACCTGTTCTACTTTCTTCTCTCGGAATAGCCTGTGGGGCCTTGTACAAGGGCTTCGGTAGTTCGTCTTCCTCGTCTTCATCGGCTTCACTTTCTCCATTGTCTCTTTCTTCAGCTACATCTTCTTCTTCCACCTCCTCTTCATCTTCTCCATCACGAAATTCTACTTCGGCAACAATATAATTCATTTCCAGACCCAAGATCTTGCCCCAGAAACGGCATTTTTGGATTGGGTGTGTATCAGTGAGTTGCTTGAGGGCAAGGAATATTCGGTAAGTCTCATCTGTCCCTAATCCAACTCCAGCTTGTTCAAAATAAAAGGCTGACTCCATCACATTGGGAAGAGAGCTTTCTGCCTGGGAAAGCAAACAGCATGGTTAAAATGTTCCATAGGGAGATGTTTACCTCTTCTTTTCTTTTCTTTCTTTTCTTTTCTTGTTTTGTCTTGTCTTGTTGACTTTTTTATTTTCCTTTTGGTCTTTTTGAGACAGGGTCTCCCTGTAGCCCCAGCTGACCTGGAGCTCACTATGTAGACCAGGCTGCCCTTGAACTCACAGAAATCAGCCTACCCCTGCCTCCCAAGTGCTGGGATTAAAGGTGTGCACTACTAAACCTGGCACTTGCTGCTCTTTTTCATAAACTACTTTCTCCACTACTTGAAATGCTCTTTCAAGATTAGATATTCCCTAAACTTCATATTTATAAATGTAGCTTATTAAATTAATTGTAACATATTTATTGATATGATAGTTACTCTGTTTTATGTGATTCTTAGAAAAAACTTAATAACTATCATTAATAAATATTTTTACTTGTAATTATAATTCTTTCAAGTTTGCTTGCTATTTACTCCACCTCGTGTAGCATCATTTGGAAGGCTAGTTATTGTATGTATTTTTGCCTATGCAGTGAGTTGTATGTGCTAATTATAACCAAAGCTGTCAATTTTATGTTGACATTATTGACCATATATCATCTCTAATCCTTTAAGTAAATTTAAGAAATAAATTTTTAAAAAAAAAATTCAAAATTTTTTCATATGAGATTTAAGTGACTAATGTTAAAATAATACATAGTATAACTTGTGGAAACATACATTTAGAACAATAATGAGATATGTTTATATTGGCATATTTTTAAAAAATAAGTATTCAATTAATGGTTTTAAATATATGTAAGGTAAATAAAAATCTATACAGTAACATGTGAGATAACAGAAAGAATAAAAATATTTTTAAAGTATGTGCTTAGCATGGCCTAGACTTAGAAGCATAAATGTAGTTAAGTGGTTGACCTTATTCATAATGAATAACTTAGCATTTAAAATAATGAACAGAAACATAAACAATTCCATAACAAGTATAGGAAAATGAGCACAATGGACTGCAGGGATTTATAAAATAGGATGCAGGAAAGAACCTTAACAGAAGCAGGACACTTCCAAGATGGTATTGACCCATGAGGAAGAGCAAGTAAGAGGACTCACTACCCTTACACTGACCTGCTCTTACCTTCATTGTCCTAGAAAGATAAATATCATGCCTTTAAAAAACATCATTCAAGGTCTTTATTTATAGGTGTTTGGAGTTTGCTTTTTTGGAAAAATCAAGTTGTCAACTTTTATTATGAATTAAAATTGAAGTTCTTGAAAACTTCAACTTGACCAGATAAGAAACCTTTAAAGGTGTATTGAGAAAACCTAGACTTTAAAAAAAAAAATGCTGGGCGTGAGACCCTGTCTCAAAAAGACCAAAAACAACAACAAAAAGTCTCATTACCAAAGAAGAGACATCTTTAGTAAAAATAATAAAAACCCCATGCTGCATAGACAATATAGATAGTTCTAGTATATCTGGTTAATGGGCAAAAACCAAGCACTTCAGCTCCAATCTTTTGTTCATTTCTTTTTCTTTTTCTTTTCTTTTTTTTTTGGTGGCACTCATTTTTTTACAGAAAAATTCATTTTTATACAATTGACACTAAGATGCACATGCGTTTCTAATCTCTATATATCTGATTGTTGCTAGTCACAGTCGGTTACTTTCTGAGCTCCTTGGCATCTGAGCATGGATATAAAGTCATCAGGTAGATTTCAATGGTAATGTTTTTCACATCTACTAATTACTAAGGAGCAAATTTTTATGCTTTGAAGAATTATTTTTTTATTGCTGGGTTTCATATTCATTTCTTCTTGTTGGATGACTAAATTGGATGATGATAGAGATGGTAGGCCAGCATTTACTCAGCCTTCCTCTGCTCATCCTCCCCTCTGCCAGATTCTTTTTTTAAAATTATTTTTATTTTATGTGTATGAGTGTATTGCCTGCATGTATGTGAGTGCACCTGTGTTGTGCAATGCCGCAGACGTCAGAAGAAGGCTTTGGATAAGGACAGGTTGTAACCGCCTTGTGGGTGCTGGGAATCAAACCCAAGTCCTCTGCAAGAGCAGTCAGTACTCTTAACTGCTGAGCCATCTCGAGCCCCCAGACTCTTTTCTTGGTGTGCAAAGCACCACTTGCTCTTCATCCTGCTCAGCTATCTAGAACTTTGTTATCCATAGCCCCTTAACTGAACCTTGAATGTTAGGATCCTCAAAATTGTCTTTTCAGTCATATCAGTAAGTGCCTTAAGCTAGGAAGAGTTTTTCCATTCCTACTCACATTTCAATTATCTTTCATGATTTTTTGATTATTATTCTTTCTCTCAGATTTTTATTCTCTGTAGTTCACCTGGTAAACTCCTACTTATCCTTCATAATCCAGGTGAAATATCATCTCTACTATAAAGTCTTCCCCAATTCCAAAGCAGAGTTAATTCCATTCTGCTTGGCACGGCAACTTCTGAAAAAATCGACATAAAAAATGTGATTTATTGCATTCTTAATATATGCCAAATCTCTTACTGCTTTTTGCCATGTGATTATCCCTGAGCATTGAAAAGTTTAGTTACTTGCTCTAAGTAATCCAACTACTAAGTGAGCAAGCTAGGATTCTAACTCAGATCTACCTCCAAAGCCCCTTCCACCTCTTCCCCTATCATACAAGGTTAGCTCTATTCCATCAATGAAAAGACATCCTAATTTTTTTTTGTCTTTCTTACTAGACTAAGAAATTGAAAGTCAAAATTACTTTATTTTCACACTAATTTCCTAGTGCCTGGCCTGTATCAGGTAAGTCACAATGTTAACAAATGACTGTGTGAGTGAACAAATGCTGAACACTGAACACAGGCATTACAGTGTCATCAAAGATAAATAAAAACACAAGCATTGTAAATATACAAGTCTGGAACACAGGTGTCATCAAGCACCTATCTTCCTGGTCTCCCTTTGCACTCTGAGGTGAAACTTTAAAAAAATATATTTATTTCGTGTATGCATGTGGTGGGTAGTGGGGGGATGGTGGTTCAGAGGACAGTTTGCTAGAGTTGATTCTCTCCTTCTACCATGTGGTCCTGGGAATTGAACTCAGGTCATTAGCGCCTTTACCTGCTGAACCATCTTACTGGTCCCTGAGATGCAACTTTTAATCTTCACACAATGACTCTGCTCTTTCATGTTTCAAAGTAGTACCTACCCTTTATTGGGAAGAGTCCTGGACTATGGTCAAGGGGCACAGGCTCTAGTTTCAAAACTGCTTATTTGTGCTCTCAGTCTACATCTTAGTTTTGGGGTGTTTTAGAAGCTGGATGCCACATTCGTATACTTGATGCTGACCTTTGATTAAGGAAGGTCTCCATGAGAATGTGTGCTCTCTGCCTTGTTTTTATGTGATGAGATGAATGCTCCCACACTCTAAAGAGATAAATCACTGTATCAGGCCTACTCCCAAATTCCACAATGCTGAAGCAGCCTTGTGTTCACTATTGCCTGCTCCTCTCATCTAGGGGCTCTGGGTCCCTCGGCGTCAGTCTGAGTCTTTCCCTATAGGCTGTTGCATCCAGGTCAGTACAGATAATGCCAAGGCCCATCCTTTCTTATCTTTCTCTGACAGTTTCATTTTGAAAATGGTTTATTTATAGCATCAAGTTTGTATGCATATAAACATATTTTAAATACTATGGTGGCAACAGACATGGAAACTCATATATATAAATTATAAGCATATAAGCATTTAGGAAACAGGATATTGGATACTGTTTTGAAATATTTGAAATCCAAATTTTTGTAAGGCAGTAAATTTTACTCTGCACTACAGTTTTATTTCTTATGTCACTAATTCTTTCTCCAAATATTTTCATCAAGTTGCCTATTAAAAGTAAAAGAAATGTTTTATTCCTCTCCTCTTGTATTATCACCCATAGATAAACTCTGCATAATATCAAGATAAAAGGAGCTTACTGTAAAAGAGAGCAAAATATTCATTAGAAAGCACTTTTAAATTTCATACTTAATTTAAGGGAAAAAATGCAACATGAATTAAAACTTAATTTTTATTACTGTCATGCATCACTTTATGACAGGGGCACATTTGGAAAAATGTCATTCAGCAATTTGGCCTTGGAAACATCACAGAATGAACTTACTCAAACCCAGATGGCATAGCCCACAACACACTCAGTCTTACATAACTGTGTGTGCTTTACTTTTTTCTTTTTTAAAAACAGGGTCTTGCTATGTAGCTCCTGCTGGCCTGGAACTTGCTGTGTAGAACAGGCTTGCCTCAAACTCACAGAGCTCCACGTGCCTCTGCCTCCCAAGTGTTGGGATTAAAGATGTGTGTCAGCACATTCCCCAGTACTTTATAAGACTGTCAGTGCAGTGAGTGGGTTTCTTCATAGTACCACCACCACAAACACATGAGGAAAACACTGCACTACGATCGTATGGTGGATTTTATGCCAGTAAGTGGTGTTAATTAATTATAATTCCATGGGACCATAGTTGTATTTGAAGTCTGTCATTTTCTAAAATGTCATTATTTGGTGCATAATTATATCTGACATTCACTCATTATTCAATGGGTATTTAATAGACAGTTATAAACACCAGAAACTTGGATAATCAGAAATGTGAAGAAACCATTTTCTATGATAGCAAGAAACTTAACCCACAGGCAAATAATAAAATCTAAACCTTGTAAAACTGTGAAAAAGTTCAGAAACCCCTGTGCAAGGAAGAGAGTGCTGTGAAATGCGCTTGATTTAGAAAAGGCTTTGGGAGAGATAGGAAACATAAGATGCAAATACCATTTACAGACCTGTCAAAAGCAGCTGGTATGATCATCAAGCCAAAGCCCACTCATCTCTAGAATTACAGTATTCATTCACAGTATTAAGAGGTAGCATAATGACTTACTATTTCATCTTCCAGTTCTGAATCAGCTCCTTCTAAATGTCCTTGAAGAAAAAGGGCCTTTTGCTTCTCTGCTATTTCATATGCTGGAAGCATTTCATTTTCACTTTGGAGTGTATCTAATTTTTTATTAAAATGTGCCATTTTCACATCTTGGCTAATATTTTCAATGATGTCAACAGCATCTGCAGGACGTTCATCTAATATCTTGGTCAACACATTGGAAAGATGATCGTATCTACCCAAACAGAGAAAATTCCCAATAACATGTAATTAAAATCATTTAAAACTCAGTTGAGTTTTAGGGATGTTCGAAAATTCTTAAGAGATTTTCAGCAATGGTTATTTCTATCATTCCAGATAGAACCTATTCTAGAACTTTCCCTAATAAATTTCCCTAATATGATGTGGATATTTAAGTTATTAGAGAAAAACCAGCAAGATACATAGTCTATATCAGGTGCATTTTCACACTTCATTTCTTAAATTGAAATCTCTTGGCTTTATACTGACAGTGATAAACAATTTTTTACTTTCTTACTTTAACTTATTTTCCATGCCTACCCTCTACCCTCAACAAACACAATATGATATTCAAATTCTGTTGATTCTATCTTTAATGTCTATTCCCTTTCCATCTTATTTTTTTTAAGATTTTGTTTCTATTTTGAATTATGTGTATGCATGTATATCTGTGTGTGGTATGTGCATGTAAGTACAAGTACCCATGGAGCCCAGAATGCACCAGATCCCCTGGAGCTGGAGCTACATGTGGTTGTAAGCTGCCTGATGTTGGTGCTGGGAACCAACTATGGGTACTCTGAAAGAGCAGTACCTGCTTTTAACTGCTGAAGTGTCTCTCCAGCCTCTACATCTTATTTGTTAAATAAACAATTTGCTTCAGTGCTTTTAGACCTATGAAGAGAAGAGCATATTTCATATTGCAGTCTACCTGCACACAGAGACAAGGGTCATCTAATCACTTTCATTAGATGTGGTGATTCTAATGTTTTGCACTCTTCTATTCTATTAATTTTCAAGTAAATTAATGAAATTGCTTTTATCCTCTCATAATTCATTACATTTTTTTGAGACAGGGTCTCTCTGCAGTACCAGTTGGCCTGGGACTCACTATGTAGACCAGGATGACCTTGAACGCACAGAGATCTGCCTACCTTTGCCTCCTAGGTGCTGGGATTAAAGGTGTGCACCACCATACCTAGCTCATAATTCATTACATTTTGTGCATAACTGATAGTTTGCATTTTCAAACATTAGGCTTACCTTGTGGACATACATTTTTGTTTTGTTTTTGTTTTTGAGGCAGGATCTAGCTATGCAGCTTAGGTTGACCTTAAACTTGATGATCCTCCTGTCTTAGGCCCTAAGTGCTGAGATTCAGGTGTGTACCATCATGCTAAACTATCTACTAAGCATTTTCTTTTTAAACTACAGGCTCTAAAGTACTTAGCAGGTAATGATGAATATTATGGAAGCTTTTCATTTATTAACTAAGGGACAGGATTGGAAAACAAGATTAAAGCAAGATATTTAAGTAATAGCAGTTATATCAGTAAAGGAAATTTTTCTTAATATTTTGTATTTGATTTTTAAAATTATAGAGAATTTGTAATATTTACAGTGATTTATTTTGAAATTTTAAGTAAATTCATAAATTCATGCCTATTAGTTAATCCAGGGCATTATGTATGATAAAACATTTACCTTAGATAGATGTTCAAATAGAGTCTGTTGAGTAGCAAATCATATTTTTTCAGTTTAATCAAATTCTAATTTATAAAAACATAAGAAATACTTTAGATTGTTCCATCTTAGTTTTTGTGAAAGATTTCTTTCTTTTTGCTTTTTGATACAAGGTCTCTCTCTGTAGCCCCAGCTGATCTGAAACTCACTACACAGAGATCTGCCTACCTCTGCCTCCCAAGTGCTGGGATTAAAGGTGTGCAGCACCATACCTGGCTGAAAGATTTGTTTTTTAAAAACCTTTTGGATTTAATTTTTATGTGCATGAGTATTTTGCCTGCATGTATCATGTATGTATATAAATGAACCCATGCATGCAATGCTTACAGAGGTCAGAAAAGGATCCCCTAGAACTGGAGTTGTTAGCCAGGATGTGGGTGCTGGGAACTGAACCTTTTCTTGGGGCTGGAGAGATGGCTCAGCCATTAAGAACATTGATCGATCTTGCAGTCAACCTGGGTTTGGTTTCCAGGACCCACATGGCAGCTAACAACTCTGTCCGGTAAGTCTGGTTCCAGGGAATCCGATGCCTGATTCTGACCTTGGCAGGCACTGCATGACGTGGGTTGCACTTCCATACATGCAGGCAATACACTCACACACATAAAATATTTAAAAATATTGATTTCATCCATTAGACTTTTAAAATAAGTATGTATTTCTTAAAACCTAGCAATAGATGTACATATTTATCTTATTTTAATTATGTGTATATGTTTGTGTCTGTGTGTGGGTTTGGGTGTGGGTTTATGTGTGAGTATAGATGCCTTCAGAATCCAGAAAAGGGCGCTTGATCTCCTGGCCTCTGGACTAGCAAGAAGTGCTTTTAACCACTGAATCACCTCTCTATCCCATTTTTTCAAACAAAGACTTATTTTACTTTTAATTATGTGTATGTGTATATGTCTGTATGTAGGTATGTGCATGTGAGTGCTGGTGCTCAGGGGGAGCAGAGGCATTGGATCTCCTGGAGTTGGAGTTCATTTTCCACATTTCTTAGTAGACACTCAGTGTTTACTAACAAAACAGGCGGTACCTCAGCAGATTATGATGAGGCCTTAAACAGATTCAAGAGTTATAGGTGATGGTCCCTGCTGCTATTTACTCATTCATTCATTCATTCATTCATTCAGTTTTTTTGTATAATCAGCATTGTCCTAGGAGATTCATATATAGTGATGTACAAAACCCACAAGGTTCCTGTATTTTGGGGACCTTCAGTCTCCAATGGGAGAACCAGGCATCAAGATGTAAGTCCATAAACATTTATAAAAATTTAAATGGTACTAAGTACTATGAAAGGAAAGAATATGCTATTATAATGGAGTTCTGTGGAACTGAATTCTGAAGGATCAGTAGCTAAGTAAGCAAAAACTTAGGGAAGGGCCCTCCCTAAATCAACAGAGTTGACTATTGTGGCTGGAACAGGGTGATGGAGGAGATAAAATTCAGAATCAAGCAAATTAACTTCTCCAGGAGTCTCTGCGAATCAGTTCCTTAATGGTAAAAAGGAAAGACTTCATTTGATGTTTTCCAGAGTTGCTTCTTTCCACATAATTTAGGTGTCTCTATGTTTATGGAATCCTGGAAGCAAGAATTTCTAGAAATCTACACTGTTCTGAGTTCTCACATTAAAGCTACAGTGGCACACCAAGAACATACCTTGATGGTTGTGATTGGTCACTATATTTTTAAAAGAAAGACCTAGCATGTTTTCCAAGTAGTCAGATTTCCTAGGACCCAGGAGATGTTGTATATAAGATATAGAACTTCAGTACTCCAACTAGGACAGTTTTAGGAAAACCAAAATGAATGTTCACCCCAGCACTGGCCTGGGAGGGAGCTCAAAGTCAAGCCACACAAGACCTCAAATGCTTAGATCAAGAATACACAGTATTACTGTAGACACATATTTTATAAGCATCCTGGATAGATGCTTAGACTTTACTACCATGTGATCTCTTCCAAGCCCAAGACTCCAAAAAACATGTATCTGTGTGACTAGGGCCTTAAAAGACACTAGAAGAATTCTCATTCATGCCCAGTTTTGAGTGCCTTGATATAGGGTTTTGTCACTAACTTTTCTTTTCAAGTAAAACCTTTTCAAATTATGTTATCATCCATCCCAACACACTTCCAACAGAGAGAAACTCAGTTCCCTATGCCCCCCACCTGACCCTTTGCTTTGCCAAACTTTCCCCTTTTCTCTCTGTGATACTTACAGATTTAAGCCTGATTTGCTACTGGTACTCTGCAGGTATGCCTTTGCATTCTGAATGGCCACCTCAAGCATGCTGGGGGTTGCTCCATTGGCCCCAGGCTTAGGCTGGTCCAGATCACAGTTACTGTGTGAATCTTCCTCCTGAAAAAGGTCAAATCTCAGTCCTTTTTGTTTGGAGTTGTCATGGCTGGCATCAGTTGGCTCACACACATCAGGTTGTGATGGCTGGGACTGTGGGAGGGTGCTTGCCTCTTTTTGACTTGTGTAGTGCGGAATTGATTCTCTTACATCAGAAGATGGTTCCCAAGGATCAGAATGGCGTGTCCCAGAGTCAGGAATCTCGCTAGTGATCTTCTCTGACTGTGATAAAACCACAAAGTCATGCCTGGATGGAGTCAGGGGAGGAGTGGAATGGCACTCCTGAGGAGGAGAAGGAGAAGGGGAGGGTGATGCTCCTGGTTCTGTGAGGTCTTCCAGAGATAGTCTGGCTCTGGACTGGTAGCTCAGAAGGGGGCTGCTCCTTGATTGGGGTCCAGTGTCCACTTTCTGCTCCTCTTCCAAGCACTCAGGTGATTGGGGATCAGGTTCCTGGAGAAAAGTTGCTGACTTTCCTTCCCATGGCCTTTCTGCTTCCTCCAGCTCTTTGTTTTCTTTTTGTTGTTTCAGAGAGTTCGAGTTTTCCATGGAAGGAATCAAGAAATAGAAAGTTCTACTTGAAGGAAGGCAATGCAGAGCAGTAGCTTTGCTGGGAACTTCCAAGCAATTTCTGGGTCCTAGAGGCTCAGCAAGTCTCAGCGTCCTATCTCTATAGCAACCCCAGGCTAGGCTTCTCTAAGAAAAATCAAGCAGCCCTGTTGCTAGGATTTTAGGGAGGAGACCAAGAAAGACGAAAACTCTAGTTTTAACGTGATTTGGTGGTGTCCCTGTCCCTCTTTTGAGCTCAGCCAATCCGAACAGGATTCCTTCGGCTTTGTTTGGAAACCTGAGAAACCCAAGTGCTCTCCTACAGCAAATAGTGGGAGAAAGTCCTGCTGGAGGCCTTGAAAGTCAGGTTATGGTGCAAGACGTATGTGTGGGGGAGGGGGAGCTATGGAGGCAGGAGGAGGGAGGGAGGGAGGGATGGAGAGGGGGGAGGGGGAGGGAGAATCTTGCAGTTTAGGTGACAACGAGATATTGTTTTGTGGACTAGGAGAACCTGAGACCATACTTAGGGTGCATAAATGTCTCACAGAGCCAACCAACCAACCAACCAATCAACTCTTGAGAATTTTGTAGAAGAACAAGACTTCAGTTTTGTTTTTTTCTCCTTTATGTAGAATGTGCCTGAAGAGCAGGCAGAAAAAATTATCTTCAAGAAAAAGACAATTCAGAAAGTTACCTTCCATAAGTTGTTCAAGGCTTACTTGTTTTCTGATGATTGAAGTTCAAATTAACACGGAGAATATAATGATATAACAATAAAGTCTTTATTTAATAATATATGTGAATTCATACTTTTGCAATGCTTTACAGCTGATTAGGATTATTAATTTATAGATGCTGTTTCCAACATGGAGAAGGTACATAGGACAGGACCATGTCTGTCTTTAGCTATAGATCATAAGATAACTAAAAATTTTGATGTTTATTTTGTTTTTATTTTAATATAAGCTAATTAATGCTTGATATTTGACATGTCACATTATTGTGACTTTCATTTAACAAGATGTTAGTGATACTATCCTGAGCCTCCCCAAACCATTAAAAAATTGATAAAAGCTGCAGCTCTTTCCCCTTCCCAATATACATGTGCGCAGAACCAGAAAATGTTGCATGCATTTCTGTTGGTCCAGGAACTCCTTAGAGACAGACCCCCCCACCCCAAATTTAGCATCCTTGCAATTCTAAAAATCAAAATGAAATGTTAAGAAAAATTAGAGTTCTAAACTGGTTTAAAATTTTTATTTATTATTACTTTTATTTATGTATCTTGAGTGTTTTGCCTGCATGTGTGTAAGTGCACCAGTGTTGTGCAATGTCTTCTGAGGCTGGAGGAAAGAGTCAGATTCCCTCAAACAGGAGTTATGGATGGTTGTTAGCTACCATGTAGGTTCTGGGAACCAAACCCAGGCCCCTGCAGGAGCAGCTGGTATGTTTAACTTGCAAGCCATCTATCTTTCCAGCCTTTAAACTAGGTATTCTGTTTTGTGTGTGTGTGTGTGTGTGTGTGTGTGTGTGTGTGTGTGTGTTTGTAACATGTAATAGATTTGGATTAAATATTTTTTTCTCCTTCATGGGTCTTTATCTTGTCCATTGTATTTGATGAGATATCAGTGGAAGTTTTTTGATTTTTTTCTGGAAAAAAAAAGGCAGTGAAAGGATGAACAGAGAAACAGATTCGTGGAGCTTGCTTATCTTTCGTCGTCAGCAGATTAGAATAACAGAAAGAAGCAGCCTAAGAAAAAGACCCTATTGTTCCTGCTTCAGCCTACAGCCCTGCCATGGGTGTCCAACCCACAGAGAGTGGGCTGCATGCATCCTAGGCTAGCTATGAATGTGGCTCAATGTAAAATCACAATTATACATGATATATATATATATCATGAGATTTGTTTGTCTTTCTTTCTCTTTCTTTCTTTCTTTCTTTCTTTCTTTCTTTCTCTCTTTCTGTAACTTGATTGCATAGTTCTTGAGCATGGACTTTTAGATGACGTCATGTCACAATGTCAAAAAGTTGAACATGTCTGAATCATGACTAAAGTATCCTGGAGGGGGTCACTGGACCCTCACCTGAGTATCCAGCCACTCTTCCCAGCCAACTAGTCCAGCCTTGGAAGACAAAAGAAAAATGAGGAAGAACCCAATAGAGGGATGCTTTTAGAAGCCCTTGTCAAGAAACTCCAATGGACTCTCATATGAACATTTGAAAATTTCCCTGTTCTGACTTTTTCTAGTTCCCTGTCTAGAACTTGTAATGCTAATCACTCTTGCCTTTACTTCTCTTTCACATCTCCTATTCATGATTCAAGGACTTTCTTTTCCCCTTAGAAACAAGAGTTATGCAATTTGGGAGTCTTTTAGATAGACCCAATTGATAGGCAATTGAAGGTGTACTCCAATTGCCTCACCCTGCATCCCTGTTCAATATGGAAGAAACCAGAGCAGTCTGCGTCCCTATTCCCTATTGGCAATTTGGGTAATCCCTTCAGAGGATGGTGTGATAAGAATACGAGGTAGGAATTCGCTTGGCAGTTAGGGTAAAAAGACCCCAAAGAAATGTAGCCAGTTTCTGAGCTAAAAGTCAAAATGTTGTTGGGCCTCTTAGCAACATAGTCTGTTCCAAAGACCAAAAATGTCAAAAGTATTTGGGAGCTTGTATCTAATCCTTAAATGATTTTAGGGTTACCTCTTCAGAGAGGGGATGTTGGAGGGGAGGGAGTGGGCATGGATTTGATCAAAACACCTTATATTCATGCATGAAATTCTCAATAAAGTTTTTGTAAAAGTTAAAAAAAAAAAAACCATGGTAACAAGCTGTTAGACTTAAAAAAAAAAAAATCCTGGAGGGGAAAAAAAATCCTGGAGGGGAGTCTCATTGTTTTTAAGATAAAAACCAAAGTCCTTACCTTCCCAGCTTCACAGTAAGCCATTGTCCACAGTACTTGTCTCATAAAATAGTTGAGAAATATTACTTCCTCTTCCATATTCTAGCATAGATTATGTACAGTTTACAACATTAAACAATGTTTAGTAAAATTCAGAGGAGAGTAAGTTTTCTTCCAGGACATGGTCTCTGGTAGACTCCCCATGCACAGGATGATTCTATACCCAGGCACATACTAGCAGAAGTAACTGGACTCCACTCCAAGAATACATGAAGTTGGGAGGGAGCCATGGTGGGATGGTTCTCGCAGGAGTTGGAAAGGAGAGTGCGCATGGATTTGGTCAAAACTCATTGTATACACGTATGAAATTCTCAAAGAATAAATAGAAAAATGTCAAAAAGAACAAAAAGGCAATAGGCTACGCATAATCTAGAGCAAACAGTGTATATTTAAATTGATTATTCAATAAAAAGGTAATTAAAAATTCATAGTGAAATCATTTGAATTTGGAGATTTTTGTTTCAAAAGGGTTTTAGATATAACTTCAATTAATTTAAAATTTAAAAATTGCATTTTTTGGCTTTATGTGTGTGTATATGTGTGCATGCATGTCTGTGAGTGCACATACTCACATGTGAAAACACAGGACTTGTGTGGAGGCTAGAGGACAATTTGCAGGAGTCGATTCTCTTCTTCCACCAAGTGGGCCTCAGGGATTGAACTTGGGTCATGTTAGGTTTGGTGGCAAGCATCTTTACATGCCAAGCCATCTTGCAGGCCCTAGACCAGATTTTTATAACTAGGCTTAAATACGGGGCTGGAGAAGTGGTTCAGTTGTTAAGATCACTGGCTGCTCTTGCAGAGGACCCTAGTTCAAGTACTAGCACCCACATGGTGGGTAACAATGGTTTGCAACTCCAGTTCCAGGGTATCTGACACCCTCTTCTGATCTCTGAGGGCATTGCACAATGCTGGTGCACATAATACATGCAGGCAATATACTCATACACATGAAATAAAAATAATAAAAACATTTAAAAAATATGTAGGCTTGACTATATAGAAGGGTGAATAAAAGACAATTCTTAGACTGGGCGTGGTGTCACATACCTTTAACCCCAGCACTTGGGAGGCAGAGGCAGGCAGATCTCTATGAGATCGAGGTCAGCCTGATCTACATAGTGAGTTCCAGGCCAACTGGGCTACAGAGAGATCCTGTCTCAAACAGACCAAAATAATAATAATAATAATAATAAGAAGAAGAAGAAGAAGAAGAAGAAGAAGAAAGGAAAGACAGTATTTACCACCATGTCATCCCTATAGTCCTGTGATCTGGCCAGTTTTCCTTCTTTTCTTCATCTTTGAAAATTTTCTAATAGCTGCTTCATGTGGTTTATTAGAAGTTCCGTTAATTGATGGATTTCATTATTAAAGACATTTTTATTTTTGTGTATGAGTGTATTGAGTTTGCCTATGTGTATGCTTGTGCTCCATGTGTGTGAAGTGACCATAGAGGTCAAAAGAGGGCATTGGAATCCCTGAAACTAGAGTTACAAGCAGTTGTGAGCCACCATGTGGTGCTGGGAACTAAACCCAGGTACTGTACAGGAGCAGCAAGTGTTCTAAGCCATCTTTCCAGCCCCAAAGGTTTATTTATTTTTATGTGTATGTGTATGACTACATGAGTTTATGAGTACCACATGCATGCAGGAGTCCATGGAGGCCAGAGAGGGCTTTGGACCTGGAGCTCTAGGCAAGTGGTGAGCCACTTAACCAGAGTACTGGGAACTGAACTTGGGTCCTCTGTAAGAGCAGAAAATGTTCTTGACCACTGATTCACTTCTCTAGCTAAAAATCATTTTATTTTGTGTGTGTATGTGTGTGCACCACAGTATGTGTGGAGGCTAGAAGACAACTTGCAGAAGTCAGTTCTCTCCTTCCACTGTGTGGATCCTGGGGATTGAACTCAAGTCATTAGGCTAGGAGGCAACTGCCCTTTACCTACAGTGACATCTCACTGTAGCTGTTGATTATCTCCAAGATGTTCTCGCTTAGCAGCTTGCATCGTGTCCTCCAAAACTATGAGAGCTAGCCTTCAAGTTCTGGGAGGCAGTCAAGGACTGTGGCAATAGCCTGTAATTTTGAGTAGTCTCTTAGACTACCCAGGCCAACAACTCAAAGGGAGGTTACTCTTGTCTGGCACTGTT